GGCGGGGGCGGTGTCGGGGGGGGCGGGGGCGGGGGCGGGATACGCTCCCCGGCCCCTCTAGCCCCGTGGAGGTACAACTCGAAGGTGTGCGGAGGCCGCGACACACGCCAACTGCAGCGCGCCGGGAACCCCGGGCCTTACTTCCGTGAGAGGGGGAAAGCGTGCCGGAAGGGGCGGGACCTGGTACTTGGCCCGCCTCTCCTGTGAAGCTGGGGCCCGCGCACCGCTCTGTGGCGTCACTGCCCGTGGCACCGTCGCTCTTGTCTCTGACGCTGACACCTTCGCGCTGTGGGACGTCGCTACCTGTGACGTCAGGAGGGCGCCTCAGGTCTTCAATCGCAGCCTGGAGTCCCGGAAAGACAGCGTCGGGGACCGGATTCAGAGCGCTTTTTTCCCGTGCCGCCTGCAGAGCTGAGCCCGGCCCGGGTCCTGGACCCGCGTGGGACTGACCCTGGTTCCTTCCTCACCGCGTTCTCGCCACCGGCTGGACCCGGGGATGCCGGGCGTCTCCGCCCGGGGCCTCTCTTACGAGGAGAGGAGGCAGCTAGCTGTGAACCTCACCCGTGTCCTGGCGCTCTACCGTTCCATCCTGGACGCCTACATCATCGTGAGGCCACAGGGATGTGGGCGGGGTGCTCCCGGAGTGTGGTTGGCTAGGTGCCCACGACAGGGAGAGAATCTGGGGAGTTAGCTTCTGATCTCTTTTATTCTATGAATTTCAGTTTGTTGTCTGTACAAGAAGGGGTTGAAACTAGGGCGATCCTTTTTTTCAGTTGCCATAAATATTAATATTTCTAATATCTAGGTTGTTTTTCTAACCTTCCCAAATCCGAAGTAATAAGACGCAGGGACATTTGAGCCATGCTACACCTACGTTGAACTCTCCTAGGAACATGTGAGATGTTCCAAGAACACACATCTGTCGGAATTTGAATAAATTCCTGGTTTTGCACTGTAATGGACAGTTCCAACTTTGGAGTCAGACAGGCTTGCACTAGAATCCTGCCTCCCCTACTGTGTTAACCTTAAGTATTAAAGAAAAAAAATTTCTCCTAGTCTTGGTTTCTCAGCTGTAAAATGGATCTGTCTGGAGGATCATTGTAGAGAATAAATGAGATAATGTGTGAATGGCACAACCATCCACTGAATTGGTCAGCCCCCAAACCAGGAAGCCATTCTTGATTCACCCTTTCCTTCACTGATCCACAGTCCAATCCTTCAACAAGTTCTGTTGGCTCTGCCACCAGAATAAATACCAAATTCATCCATTTGTTTCCATCTCCATTGCTACCATCCTGGGCCTAGCCACCATCCTCTCTCTCCTGGACCACTTCCTAACTGACCTCTGTGTTTGCTTCTGTTCCTCCGTAACCACTTCTTCACAAAGCAGCCAGATTGATCTCTTTAAAATGTAAATCTGATCATGACACTTCCTGCTTCCTAGGTGTTTTGATGAAGTCCTCATTCCTTACCGTTACCCATAATGCCCTACAGGATCTGTCCCCTGCTGCCTCCTGAACCCCACCACATTTTGTTTTCTCCCACATTGACTGTACTGCACCTATACTGGGCTGACTTCTGTTCCACAAATATTGCAGGCATCTGGGCCGTTGCGCTTACTGAGCTGCCTGGAATGTTTTTCCTCCACAGAAAGGCAATAGAGTAGAATGGTTAAGAGCAATAGCTCTAGAGTCAAATTGGTTTCAAATCCCAGCTCTGCTTCTTGCTAGCTTTATGACTTGGGCAAGTTACTTAATCGCTGTGCACCAATTTCCTTTTCTGTAAAATGGGGGATAAGAATAGTACCTACTTCTAGGGTTGTTTTGAGGATTAAATGCATTAACACATGTAAAATGTTTAGAACAGTGCCTGGCATATTAAAGTATTTTATAAGTGTTTGCTGTCACCTGAATTTTTTTTTACATGTCTATTTCCTGTTCATTCAAGTCTCAGCTATGGTGTCATCTCCTCAGACAAGTCTTCTCTCATTTCTCTATCTGAAGCAATACTCTCTCAAACTCTCCATTATGTTACTGTTTCGTTTGTGTTTTATTGTTTGTGTGACATTTAATGTTATCTGAAATTATTTTTTTAATGTAAACTCTGCAAGAGCAAGAATCTTGTCTGTCTGGTTCATTGTTGTATCCCTAGCCTAGAATAGAGCTTGGTGCCTAACCAAGGCTTCAGAATTTGTGTTGAACAAATGAATGAATAAAACTACATTCTGGCGTACATAATGTCTGGCATATATAATGGTAGGTTACTAAATGGTAACACACTGCGTGTCAGTCACTGTGGTGTTGGGGATGGAGATGTGAAGAATACACCATCCCTGCCTTTAAATTCAGCTAAGTAGAGAAAACACACATAAGTGGGGAAACTGCTAAAAAGAGAGTATGTACAGAATGCAGTCTGGGATCTGAGGAGAGAAAGGGGAGGCTGGAGCAGGCTTCAGAGAAGAGGTGACTTGGATGAGTAGGAAGTGCCTGCTGGTTGTAGCCAGTGGCCCTGCGATGAGAGTTGGGTAGGGAAGAAAGGGGAGGGTAGTAGCCTGTTGATTGCTTCTCCCCTTCTCCTGCAGGAATTTTTCACAGACAACCTGTGGGGCACTCTCCCTTGCTCATGGCAGGAAGCATTGGATGGACTGAGCCCGCCGCAGCTGGCCACACTGCTGCTGGGGATGCCTAGGGAAGGGGAAGTGGTCAGGTATGGGCAAGGGGGCACTGTGCTGGAGGACCCGGCGCTGAGCCCTGCAGCAAGCCATTGCTCAGTCTCACAAGGGCTCCCTGGGTTGCAAACTGGTGCACTCAGGACGCGATGGGACTATTCACTGGGGGCCTGGGCCGGGCTATCTCAGGTACAGGTCGGTGTGGCCACTCACCCTGCTGGCCCTGAAGTCCACAGCTTATGCCCTGGCCTTTACCCGGACGCCTGGGTTTCAGAGCCCCTCAGAGTTCCTGGAGAACCCCAGCCAGAGCTCCCGACTGACAGCTCCATTCCGGAAACATGTCAGGCCCAAGAAGCAGCATGAGATCCGGAGGCTGGGAGAGGTGAGGAGAGGGCTGGGGTATAGGTGGTGTTTGGAAGTCTGAGAACTTCTTAAGCTGGTGGGTTACAAAGATGTGGGCACCTTATATCACCTGCAGGACTGGAGGCCCTAGAAGAGCTCTACCTCAGCAGGCATACTATAACCATATCTTGATGCTGGAGTTTTGTGGGTTTTTCATCCTTTTGCTGGGTTGGTTGGTGGTTATGTCTGAATCACTGTCTTATTCCTGTTCTCACACCTCCACAATCTGCTCATGGCTTCCCATGGGCCTCTCCTCCTTGTTCTTTGGGGGAGGTTGAATCACTGACCTAAAAGGAGCAAGGAGAGTGGCCTGAACCTGGGGTCAGCACCCTCCATTTTGATTTCCATATCTTGTCTCTTCCTTGGCACCCTCTACCCATCTTCCTCAGCCATCTTCAGCTCCTCCACCCTCATTATGGGTGTTTGCCCCAGGGGTCAAGAACCGATGGCCAGGAGACCTTTTTCCTTTCTCTTTCAGTTGGTGAAGAAGCTGAGTGACCTCACAGGCTGCACCCAGGTTGTGGATGTAGGCTCAGGCCAGGTGAGCCAGACACCTAACATTCTGGTTTTTTTGACCTAGGATAGAACAGTTGGAACACAGGCTATCAGGTCACAGTACCAGGGAGGCAGGTGTCAAGGAGTGGTAGAAGCAGGCAGGGCAGAATTTAAGCCTTCTGAGGGCCTGGGACCCAGGTGTCCAGGCCTGTGATAGGGAGGGTGACAGGAGATAGGACACTGATCAGGAGTGTCTCCACCCTCCCTTTCATGACTCCAGGGCCATCTCTCCCGCTTCATGTCCCTGGGGCTGGGGCTGATGGTGAAGAGCATTGAAGGAGATCAGAGACTGGTGGAGAGGGCCCAGCGCCTGGACCAGGAGCTCCTGCAGGCTCTGGAGAAAGAAGAGAAGAGGAACGCACAGGTAGGCCAACCCTTCCTGCAGCCAGGACTGCAGGAGCAGGCTCTCCTTGGCTGGAACTGGGCACCAAGGCTCAATTCCCTCTTTTAGATTGCTCAGCATGAGATGGTATGGGCCCTACATTCCACTCCCCCTTTCCCCGGGTCCCCTCTTCGCCAAAGCCGCCTCACATCTAAAAGGCACTTTCTAGTTACAAAGTGCTTTCCGTACTGATGTGTTCTTCTCACAACAACTTGTGAAGTGGCCAGTCAGGTATTAGATTCATTACAGGTGAGGAAACTGGGACTCAGAGCTGAAAAGATTTGCAATTAATAGTGATATGATAGACCCAGAATTCATCCCACCTCCTGATTCAAGGTCCAGCTCTCTCCTACAGCCCAGCTTCTCTCCCATCTTCCTCCTTGGGAAGGAACATAGAGGACAGATCCCTTCCTGCGGTCTGAGGTGGCATCATGGGGACAGCAAACAGACTTCCCATCTGCCTTCATCCCTTCCTGCCTCCACAGGTGGTCCAAACTGGCCCTCGCCACTCCCCACACCACGTGGTTAGATGGGTAGACCCTACGGCCCTGTGTGAGGAGCTTCTGCTTCCACTGGAGAACTCACCTCAGGGTGGGGCCCGCTTGCTGCTCACAGGCCTCCATGCCTGTGGGGATCTGAGCGTCGCCTTGCTGAGGCACTTCTCCTGCTGCCCTGAGGTGGTGGCCCTGGCCTCAGTGGGCTGTTGCTACATGAAGCTGAGTGATCCTGGTGGCTACCCACTGAGTCAGTGGGTGGCTGGGCTGCCTGGCTACGAACTGCCGTACAGGCTTCGGGAGGGAGCCTGCCATGCCCTGGAGGAATATGCTGAGCGGCTACAGAAAGCAGGCCCTGGCCTCCGAACCCACTGCTATCGGGCAGCACTGGAGACAGTTATCCGTTGTGCCCAGCCCACGCTCCGTCGGCCAGGCGTGCAGGGGATCCCCAGGGTCCACGAGCTCAAGATTGAAGAGTGAGGCTGGGGGAGGTGGGTGTGTGGGGAGGGGGCATGGCCAGCTGGAGGTCTAATAACCCTCCCACCCTCACTTGTTAGCGCATCCTAAAGAAAACCTACATGTGCCCAGGGGGGTGATTTTGAGTTCTCTCGCTGGGGCAGCTTCTCAGAATTTCTTAAAAAGGGAGTTGTCACTGTTTTATCAGGAGACAGTCATGTTTTTTTAATGCTAAAAATATAGCTAAATAATTGGGACAGATGTGGCTGAAAATCAATTTTTGGATCAATTTGCTATTGGACAGACAGCTTACAGCCAGAAAAATGTTTCAAAATGCATATTAGAGTAGCAAATCAAGCAAAGTTGGAATTGAATTAGGAATGGACAGTGTAAGTGGGAGATGGAGATTCCTAAAACCAAACTGAGTGTTGTCTGTGGCTGATCCCACAGGTATGTGCAGCGGGGGCTACAGCGGGTAGGGTTGGACCCCCAGCTGCCGCTGAATCTGGCTGCCCTTCGGGCCCACCAGGCCCAGGAGAACCGTGTGGTGACTTTCTTCAGCCTGGCCCTGCTGCTGGCCCCACTGGTGGAGACACTGATTCTGCTGGACCGGCTGCTCTACCTTCAGGAGCAGGGTGAGGGTGGCCTACAGCAGGGACCCCAGGGCCAGAGGGGCTGGAGTTCTGGGGCTCCTCCTTCAGGTCCCAGCCTGATATCTGCTGGGACTAGGTTCCTCACTGTGGTGATTCTTGGACCACCTGCTTCAGAGTCACCAGTGGAGTGGGGGTGGGGTACTTGTTAATGCAAATTCCTACTGAGTCAGCCTCTGGCAGTGCATCCTTGAGTGCATTTTAAGCCAGCATCTCAGGCACTGAGAACCTACAGTGTGCAAAGGACTGCCTCCTCCTAGTCATCTTCCTGGTAGAGAACTGGGGCTCCTTAACCCCCCTGGAGCTTCCCTAAGGGGGAAAAGGAGCCGTGCCTACAGACTGGGCAGGAAGTGGGGCTGAGGGTTTGCTTCACTCCTCCCCTTCTGAGTAGCGCTGTCTTTCTCCCAGGCTTCCATGCTGAGCTGCTGCCCATCTTCAGCCCTGAACTCTCTCCCAGAAACCTGGTTCTGGTGGCCACCAAGAGGCCGCTGGGTCAGGCCTTCTCTGTGCTGGAGACTGAAGACAGCTGACACAGCACATCTTGGACCCCATCTGAAACCACCCAGGTGCCACAGTGGGTGGCGGTCTGCACCTCCTCACCCAGAGAACCAGCATCCTGCATCTTCCCTGGAATCCTGATTCCCCACAAACCTTCAGCTTCGTATCCTTTCTCTCCCTCCATGTGTTATGTAATATTATGTAAAAATTTATTTTTAATTTATTAAAAAGTTGAAGTCTTTATTTCCCACCTATTTTTATTAAATATAGAAAAGGACAGATGTACACCCTCCCTACTGAGATCCTGCAGAGGAGCTACAATTCAGACCCACACCCCCAATCCCCACTGTCCTCCATAACAGGCAGCGTCTTCTGTTACTCAGAGGTCTCCATTGGAGGGAACCTCTCTCCCCCTCTGGTCTCCATTCCAGATTCTGCAGGCCCTGCCCCTTCGGAGGGCCGCCTTATGGCTAGCTGACCTCCATCCAGGTTCGGTGGTAACATCAGAACAGATGCTTCCTCCCTTCAGTCCCTGAACCAGGTGCATTGGAGTTGGAGTGCTGGTCTGCAGAAGATAAGCAGCTGCACACAGAGGACGACTCATGGCTCTTTATTGGTGTCTGAAGAAGAGGTGGCCACAACCTTCAAGGCTAAGACAAGGAGAGGAGAAGCTGCTCTCCCCAGGTTCAATACCAATAGACTTTCTTGTGTCTCCGAGTCTCCTGGATCCCCATCGCCTCCATCACCTCCTCCTCCAGTGTCTTTAGACGGGGCACATAGGTTCTTTCTAGAGCATCTTCCACTGATGTGTCTTTGGGGCCATCTATTGAACCAAAGGAAAGAAGATGGATGGGAGGGCTTCTTAACATTTCTTTTTTCTTTTTTTTTTTTAACAGGTAGTTTTTTTTTAAAATTTGATAGACTTTAATTTTATTTATTTTTATTTAATTAATTAATTTATTTATTTTGAGGAAGATTAGCCCTGAGTTAACATCTGCTACCAACCCTCCTCTTTTTGCTGAGGAAGACTGGCCCTGAGCTAACATCCGTGCCCGTCTTCCTCTTCTTTATATGTGGGATGCCTACCACAGCATGGCTTGCCAAGTGGTACCATGTCTGCACCCGGGATTCGAACCGGCGAACCCCAGGCCACCAAAGTGGAACATGTGCACTTAACCACTGTACCACCAGGCTGGCCCCTCTTAACATTTCTTGTTCCCATTCCTACCACACCTACCCCCATCTTCCTGCCCCTCACCCAGCCTCACCAGTCCATGTTTCAGGGACGATGCCATCAGCTCTGGGAAATTCAGGTTTGGGGATAATTCTTCCTGATCTTGTAGAGACTCGTACCCGCTCTCCTGCTTCAGTGAATCTCCACTCCACCTCAGTGGGTTTCCTAGTGGATAGAAGAGGTGAGCCTGGCCTGGGAGTCAGGTCTCCCTGCCACCCTCCAACCCAAAAGTCAATGGCTGAAAACACTAAGGTCACCATCTTGTTCCTCTGCTACCTCTGTATTGGGGTTGTCCATGAACATGAACAGGGGGTCATGTTCATGAGATGGCCCCCCTCAATTTCCAGAGCATCCAACCCACCATTCCCATTGGATAAATGTGGTCAACAGCTACGTGGACTCAGAGGGTGGGAAACCCTCTGACCAGAGCCCCCATGTGCTTGCCTGTCCACAGGATCCACAAGTTTAACCTGGTGGTGGAGCAAGGGTGCTTCGCTAGGGATCATGGTTCCCCGGTAATCCTTGGTCTTGCCAATATAGCGGTAATGCTGTCCAAAAGAGGGGGGGTAATCAAAAGAGGGGTGTAAAGGGGGCTTGCCTACCGCAGCTCAGAGCATTCAGCCCAAGTTGAAAAGTAGAAGGTTCAGTCGTCTCACCACTCCCTCAGCCAGTCTCCTGCCTCCCTGTGCTGCTTAATGGGGAGGGACAGATGAGACAGGCTTTCTGAGTATCCCCATCCTCACTCTTCACTTACTGTATTCAGCCCCTCCAGGACCACCCAGTTTCGCTGCCGGATAACTTGAACCACTTTGCCTTGCTTCCCAGCATCCTTGCCTTCTAGGACCTCCACCTGTGGGAAGACATGAGGGATGAGAGGGAGATCCTTGTCCAGGAGCCCCTCCCACCACTTACCCTGTCTGAGGTTCTCACCCTGTCCCCACAGAACAGATGCCAGTCTTCATCAGAGATGGGTTCCACAGCCACCCGGCGCCGCCTGGTCCCTGGAGGATTCTTCCTCTTGTCTGACAGGGAGCCTGGGCGGCTCATCCCGTAGCGGTAGTTGGGAGGTAGAGTGACCTTGGATGCCAAGGCCAGCAGGGCAGAGAGACGCATGGCTGGAGGCTGTGAGAAGTCCTCTGGCCAGCGAAAGACCCAGAAACCTTCCTAGTCAACTCTGGAGTAGACAGATAGAAAGGGGGCCAAGAAGCAAGAGAAGGAACATTTTTTTAGGCACTTGGTCCATTGCTTAGTGGACCTCATCTCATTAAATCCTCACAAGATATTATCTTCACTTTACAGATGAGGAAATAGACTCAGAGAGGTTAAGTGACTTGCCCATGGTCATAAAGCTACTATGCAGGAGAATCGGCATTCAAACCCACCTGTATCTGACTTCAAAGTCTCAAAGTCTTCAAAGTCTCATTGAGGCTAGAGACCTTGTTATCTAGCTCACCCCTGAATCCAGCAGATCCCAGTAGGGCTTGGCACAGAGTAGGTACTCAATAAATAGTTACTAAATAAGTGCACAAACAGTAGGATAGGAAGAAAACAGTGGCATAAGGCCAAAAGACAGGCAGTTATAAAGTAAAACAGACAGGTAGTAGAGAGGAAAACTGGGACTGAAATGTTCCTACACCACTCACAATCCTATCCGCAGTCAGGAAATAACCACTAACCACTCCTCCTAAGACAGCTTCTTTCCTACAGGACCCAGAGCCAGACTCTAGGATTACTGGGTCCTAAATTTCCCAACTAAGTATGGACTCTAAGCCTCCCAATTTGGGATGATGGACTAAATAAACATGGTGGTGAGAGAACCGAAGGAAAAAATAATACGTGTGTCAATTTATTGAGCACTTTACCTGCCAAGTGCCATGCTAAGTGTTTTCCTGGATCATTTCATTTAAGCCCAAGGAGGCTTAAATGATGGAGGTACCATTAATCTTGTTTTATAGCTAAGAATAAAGCCTAACTTCAAAGTACAAATAAAGTGCACTATAATGGCATAAAGAGCTCTAGACTGGAGTCAGACCACCTGGGTTTAGTCCCTGCTCCACCATCATCTTATTGTGTAACCAGAGGCAACTAGACTTCTGAGCTTCAGTTTCATCATCCATAAATCTTTAGAGGGTTAGGGGCTGGCCCAGTGGTTAAGTTGAGCGGGGGGGAGTTTACAAACAACCAGTATACAAAACCAGTTTTGTATGTATGTAAGCCGGTCCTGCCCAGTATACAAAATAGAGGAAGATTGGCACAGATGTTAGCTCAGAGTGAATCTTCCTCAGCAAATAAATAAATAAATAAATAAATAAATAAATAAATAAAACCTTTACAGGGTTGTTGGTGTCATTATTTTAAATAAATTTTCTTTTTTTAAGATTTTATTTTTTTCCTTTTTCTCCCCAAAGCCCCCCGGTACACAATTGTATATTCTTTGTTGTGGGTCCTTCTAGTTGTGGCATGTGGGACACTGCCTCAGCGTGGTTTGATGAGCAGTGCCATGTCCGCGCCCAGGATTCGAACCAGTGAAACACTGGGCCGCCTGCAGCAGAGCGTGCAAACTTAACCACTTTGCCACGGGGCCAGCCCCTATTTTAAATAAATTTTTGATAAATATTTTTATTTAACTTTTATTTTACTTAATAAATAATTTTAACAAAATTTTAATACAAATTTTTAAAAGGTACAGAGTAATGTGAATAGTTAATCATCCCTTTTGGAAAAATTAAAAAATACATATTTGGGCACATATATTTATGGGCAGGAAACAGGGAACAACTAAAGTACTTGTTTTGGGGGTGAGGAAATGTTTGGGAGGGCTGTTCCTTTCTGTCTCATTCTTTTCCATAACGTTTGTATTTTTTAACCCATGTGCATTAAAAAAATATATCAACCAGTTTATCTGAACAGGGGGATATTGTGTCATTTTTCTTTATACTTCTCAATATGAAAAAGAAAAGGCCTAACGTTTTTAGTTAATGCTGGTTGAACGTAAGGGCCTCAGTGTTCTCATTCAGATTCAACAAATGCTTAGGGAGCACGACCATGTGACAAATCTAATGCTGGGAACTTCACTATTTCTGGTGTTTGATCTTCACATGACCTGTGAGGAAGGCTGACAGGAGACAAGGAAACCAAGGCCCTGAGAGCTGAAGGGACTTGCCCTAATTCATACAGCTTCATAGGAGCAGAGCCAACCTTATGAAAGACTCCTGCGTGATGGCCGCAAGAAGTCCCTCAACCTCAACCATTCTAGATCTGAAGCTCTGGGAGGAAATCCCAGAAGCCAGCTCCCTAGATCTTTTCCTTCTTTCCCTCCAAACTCTGGAAAGGCTGGTGCCTCTTCCGCAGTGGGGCTTTCACAGCGTGCTATGGAGGCGCCGAGCGAGATAGCGAGGCGGCGTGTCTGCCGCGCAGGCCCCGGCTCCAAAGACTTCCCCGGCCAGCCCCATCCCAAGCGCAGACGCCCAGTACCCAGCACTCTTCAGCAACCACCCGCTCCAAGCTTCCGGTGCAGGGAAACCCAGGGCGAGAAGACTGAGCCACAGAGGGGGAAAAAAAAGGGCCTTCCCGCATCCGCCTCCCGGACCAGCCCAGAACCACCAAGAGCTCGGACGGCTCGACCCTCACCGCCACTTGCCGCTGCGCCACGGAGCCTCAGTCAGTTACCTCTGCACATGGGCCCTAAGCCCCTCCCGTCCCCGTCCCTCGGCTCTCTGGGAAATGTAGTCTAATTGTAGAGCAGAAGCTCAACAACGAATCTAGCCTCTCTGCATGCTGGGAGTTGGAGTCCGCCGCTACCAAGCAGGCTGGAAACAGGAAATTTGGTCGGGTAGGAAATCAAGAAAGCGTAAGCACACCGTGAAGCACGTCGGGTGCTGAAGGCAAAGCAGGATAGGCTGCCGTGCCTGGCACATTCTTGCACATGCTCCGAGTGGAGGCCCCTGGGAATTGTAGTTTCTAGAGACGATGGCTCCATTTTCTAGGTGATTGGGGCTTTCTCTTCAAAGCAGAGGGCCATCCTTTCTAGGTAAGCCTACAGCCAATACTCTCCCCGCTTGCCCTTAGGGCAAATTACAAAACTGTCATAGGCCTTTTAAAGGAAAGGATGAATCGTGGGCCCACCCAGTGCCGCCAGTGGATGATGATCTAGTCACAAAATGTCAGATCTGCAAAGAACCTTGGAGATGACCTAATCCAGCCATTCTACTTAACTCAGGGAGTACTGGGAGGATTCCACCCTGTCAACCTCCTCGCCCCTCATCACCAGTTAAGGGTGGCAGGCACCCCCAGCTTTGACCTTTGCGGGGTCAAAGTTGTTTCTACAACCAACCCAAATATCCCTGCTTCCATGGCGATCGGGGGCTGCAGCTGACATTGGCACCTTCTCACATCCTACTTCTTGTGCAAGCTTTTTTTTTTTTTTTAACCTTCCCAGGTGCTTATGGGGGCCTCTGTGTTAAACAGTGCCTGGGCAGAAGCAGAATGAATAGTGTAGTTTATTCTGTGACTTTGCCCTCATGTAGAAGTCTTGGATATTTCTAACAGCCTGAGAATGGGGGAGAAGCTGGCACCCCTAATCTCAATCTAAGAAGGTGATTTGGGAATCATTTGCATTCCCTTTCCCCACTCCCCTTCTTTAGTTAACCAATACACGCCAAAGAATCAGTCAGAATCCAATGTAGTAATCAATGGGTTTTATTTTCCTAGAACTGAAATTGTCTACGGTTCTCAGAGCTAAACTTCCAAAGCTACAGTCAGCAATTTTTCATCAGAGCCCAAAGAGAGGGGCAAGGGTGAAAAGAGACAAGAGACGGAAGAGAGGCAGAGACCAGTAGAAAGAGGTTGGGAGAGGGCACTCATTTCCCTCTGTCCTCTCAGTGGGTTAACAAATCGGATCTGGTGTCAACACTGAGGGGACCAGGTGGGAGTATGCGGATGGGAAATGACACCAGAAGGAACACCAAAGCCCCAGCTACAAAAAGAAAAGTCATCAAGCCCCAAACAGAAGGGGAGCCTCCCAGTGCACCTCAGAAAGGGGGGCAACAGTGGGGAAGAAAGGAGCAGAGTGGGGGGCACACAAAGGGATAGGGATCTTTAAAATTTTTTTTGTAATTTTCTTTTATTAAAAACATTTCCTAAAAAATGTGTCTTTTCCTTTATGTCTGGGTGACATGTGACTGCAGGCTGGCCTTGAGCATTGTGGGGAGAGGGAAAGGGGCAACTAGGGATCTCCCCAGGGCATCCCATCTCTGGCCCAAGATCTAAAGGGTGACAGAACTCCTCAACACTCCCACCCAAGCTGGGTGAAATCAACCCTTCAGATCCCAGGTCCTTGGCCCAAACAACCTGGAAGCCCCAAAATCTTTTGATGATAAACTACAACTCCCAGAACTCCTGGGGTCAGAAAAGGAAGAATGGGTGTTGCCAACCATCAAGGACTTATGGAAGGGAGCCCCTCCCCCACAAGCTGTCCCACTTTCCCTGAATCTAGACAGCTGGGATAATAGGTGTGGGAGGAAGGGACAGGAGCTCAAGAAGATACCATCCTCCTGCCAGCCCCCCGACCCCAATCTGAGGATTGCCTCTCCCAGACCCTAGAAACCCCTCCTGCTGTTTATCCTCCATCCCTCCACTCCTACCCTCTTCCCAACCAACCCAGAGGTCCAGAAAGCCTGGGGCGAGGGAGAGGTGTGTCAGGAGGTGGAAAAACAGCTGCCTCATCTCATCCCACAAAGCAGAAGACATGGCCCTGATTCAGATCACAGGGGTGTGGGGACATGGCGGTGAGGGCCAGGTGGCCTGCCCCATCCAGGTCAATCTCCAGGGGCTGGGCTTGGAGAGGAGTGAGTGAGTGGAAGAGGAGAGCGGGCTGGGGTGAGGAAGGGGTTCCCAGTTTGCAGGCCATGGCCAGTTTCCCCAGTAGCACCCAGACAGCAGCAGGAACGGGGCGGGGGCTCCTCTTGAAACATTGGTGGCTACAGGCTGCGGGGGAGGGTTGGAGGGGAGAAGGGTTAATGGTGTGGCCTTGGCCTGGCCTTGCCCCAGTCAGTGCCGGTCTCCTGGGAAAGCCCACCCTGCCTCCCGAGAGGCTGACTGCTGCGGGCCCTCCTCCTCTCCGCAGTGACTGGGCCCTCCCAGCCCAGCTGCTCTGGGGCAGGGGGCTCACTCACCTCTCATGATCTCTGATGCCTGGGGCTTCAGCATCTTCCTTGGCAGCCTCTTCCTCCTCTTCCTCCTCTTCTTCCTCCTGAGGAGGCCCCCGGCCAGAGCCAGGCTCAGAGCGGGTGCTGTTCTTCTCCACCTCCACAGGGAGGGGCCTCTCACTCTCCAAGGTGGCCGCCTCTTTCTCCTCCCCTTCGGGGTCTTCTGCCTCCTTGGGACGTTTAGGGGAGTCCTAGGCAGGATTGGCAGAGACACAGTGGGCTGAGGCTGGAGAGGGAGGACGCCAGCCACCTGCCTCCCCCTCCTTTCCTCAGAGGCTCCTTCCTGGGGATACACACAACCCCTCTCCAGCCCTCTGCTAGCTGAAAAGTCTTCTGTGTCTCATCTTCTGAGCGAGGGACTCCCCAGAACCTCAGACTGGGGACTCCCTGAAGAAGCAGCAGCTATCTTTCAGACTGGGAGGCCTGCGCCTGGGCCCTTACCTCCAGCAGGTCCCCTGCTCTCCTCTTCAGCGCCCCCTTCTCATTCTTCTCCTTGGTTGGCTCATCAATGACCAGCTTCCCTTCCTCATCACTGCTACCCTCGGCATTCCCCTTCTTGTCACCGTCACCCTCTGTGGCTTCCGGCTCGGGTTCGGGCTCTTCCACAGAGCTCTTTTTCTGGGAGGACTGTGGCAGAGACAGCAGAGGCTGAGTGGCACCAGCGGCTGCCATGCTGGACCCCCTTCCCAGACCCCTCCCTCGGCCACTCACTCCTTCCTTCTCCCACCTCTCCCCCGCCCCCACCCAGGTGCCCAGTCTCACGAGTGATTTGAGACCCACCTCTGTCGGATTAGCCCCGGGGTAAACCCACTGGCCGGGCAGGCAGGGCTCTGTGCAGGAGGGGGGAGGGCTGGAGCAGGAGGCAAAACCTCGGGTCAACTTCTCCCAAAGGGAGCTGGGACCCTTTCCCCGCCAACCCCCGCCCCCCACCCTCCCGCCTCATCCTGCCCGGCTCACAAGCACCTCCTCCTGGAAGCCTTTGCAGAAAGAGTTGAGGCCATGTCCTATACTCTGGCTGGGCCCAACACGGGCCTGTCCCCACTTACCGCCTCCATCCTGTTCTTGCCCCCCCAGGCCGCTGTCTAACAGTTGCCCCTCACCACAACTACACCACACACCCACAACCCCAGCACCTCCTGCAGGAAGCCTCCCCCGCCCCCCACCCCATGAGCTCCTACTCTGAAAGCCCTGGCTTTCTGAGCCCCATTCTTGAAGGCCAAGTATCATGTGTGGGCCCTGGAGGAAGCCTGTGGCCACACCTGCTTTCCAGGGGGTCTCTGGGACAGATGACAGCTCACCTGGTAGCCAGAAGCCTTGACAGTAGGGTTGTTCTCGATCTCCCACAGCCCCTCGCTGAACCCTTTCCTCTTGTTGGGCTTGCCAAACTTCTCCTTGGACTCCTCGTAAGGGAAGAGGTCTTTGGGGCCCAGGAATGCCCTGGTGAGAGATGCGAGACTGTGCTCTCAAGCCCCTCACTGCCTCTGAGCTGCGCAGCCCGATAGGGAAGGGGCACCATCACCACCGCTCTTTCCCTCCCCAGGCAGACTGCCCACGGCCCTCCCCATGGGCCCCCTTACTCACGTCTCGTGGGTCCCGAAAAAAAACACTTGGTATTTGTTGGCTGTTGATTTCACTGCAGCCTCAGGCATCTCGTCAATCTAAGAGCAGGATGAGGGAAGTGAGCATGAGCTGGAGTCCTGAGTTCTCGAATTTGAGGCCAGGGGTGGGGGTGGGGGGCTGACCTCTAAGACGCATTTGTGTAAAATCAGACTGAGAGGGACTCAGGAGATCACCAAGGGGGCTTCTGAACCATTTTAGGAGTGAACTTCGTTCAAAAGAAGCAAGACACGAAAAGCCCAATGGAAACCCTGGAGTCACCCCCCACTTCACAAACCCACCAGCATCTGTTCTGCCTCCCAACACGTTCGGATTCTGTTAAAGCTCCCTGTTGTTGCCATCATCCTGGTCCAACCACTGTCACCTCTTGCCTGGACTAAAACCACAGCCTCTGTCTCTTCTCTGTCTCCATTCTTGTCCCCCGACAACCCATTCTCCACACTGCAGCCAGAGTGGGCCTTTCAAAGCGTTGATCTGAGTATTTCATCCCCCTGCTCGAAACCTTTCAATGGCTTTTTGTGCCTCTAGAGCCTACCCATTCACCTCTTCTCCATAACATCAAGATCTGCACCCCAACACTGCCACCAATATTTGTATACCTTGGGCAACTTAGGGAACCTCTCTCTGCTTCAGTTTCCTCATCTGTAAAATGAAGGTAGTCATAGCTCTTAAGCCATAGGGTTGTAAGAATTAAATGACTGCAACCTGGCACGTAGTACATCCCACATATGTGCCTGCTACCAGCATCCTCTCCCAGCGCGCTGACCTCTGCTCTCTGCTCCAGCACACTGATTTTTCACTCTCCTATACTCACTAATTCCTGATCAGCCTTCCAACCTCAGCCCCATCATCACTTCCTCCAGAAAGTTTCCCCATCTCTCCCTACCCAGGCAGCTTCTCAGATAAAATTCTTAGCACTTCTCCTTCACAGTGCTTTTC